TTCCCGTCTTGGTCGAGTCTGTTTTCGCAAAGGTTTTCGTTTCCTCGGCAAATTCCTCTGATAAATTTTGGTCAAGGGGCTTGGGATTTTGCCCCTGATTCTCCAAATCTTGCACCCAATGGTGTTCTTCAGTTTCGATTCGGTCAAGATTGCGCTGACGCTTTCGGACCTGCTTTTCCTCGCCAGCACGATCCGCAATCACTGGAGAGATCCGTTTTTACCTTTTGTCTTTAGTTTTGCCATTCCCTCGAGCTCGGAAGGCCGCACGTGCAGATTTGATGTGACAACAGTCGACGAGTCGATGTCCTATTGCGCCGCAAAAAGCACAATTCAATTTGTTTTTTGCTGAGCGCGAATTGGCGTCGATTTTGTCGACTTCCATGGGGTCGGCGAACATGGTTGAAGCCGAGCAATCCCCTTGTCGTGATTCGACAACTTGGGATCGTCGTGTTCCGTTATTGACCAGGTCAAACCTTTACGCGGCAAATACTATCTCACTATAGCTACTGCAATTCGTTGCTGCAACCTGGCGGCGAATGTCAGTTTTCAGCCCCGCAATGTAGGACTGAATTTTTTCACAATCGGTAATGTCGGGAACACGGTTATTAAATTCTTCCATCTGCTGCGTGTATTGCGCGACACTCCCGAATTGCCGATGGTGATGTAATTTTTCGTGCGCAATATAAGTGGAATGAATCGGCTCAAAACGTTTGAGAAGGTCTGCCCGGAACTGCTGCCACGTGTCAAACTTATATGCTATAGTCTGTGTAGGCTGTAGTGGGGTAGTTCATATGGGGTACAACACTTTAGGCTTTCCCACTTGTACTCCTCATGCTGCTCAATGAAATCGTTCCTCGTTCTTTTTTCTCACATGGTATTAGAGCAGAATCATTCCTAGGGCCCACCGAATGTTCCGCCCTGCCCTAACTGATTTTTTTTTTTAGCTGCCCCCGCGGCCGCGCAGCCCTTGCAGCCCGCGTGCTGCCCCTGCGACCGTGCTGCCACTACAGCCGTGCCTGCCCCTGCAGGTGTGCCTGCCCCTGCAGTCGTGCCTGCCTCTGCAGCCCGTGGGAGCTGCCCCTGCAGCCCGCGCGCCGCCCTCCCGAGCAGCTGTGCCTGCCCCTGCAGCCGTGCCTACCCCTGCAGCCCGTGGGCGCTGCCTCTGAAGTCGTGCCTGCCCCTGCAGCCCGTGGGCGCTGCCTCTGCAGCCGTGCCTGCCCCTGCAGCCCGTGGGCGCTGCCCCTGCAGCCGTGCCTGCCTCTGCAGCCCGTGGGAGCTGCCTCTGCAGCCCGTGGGAGCTGCCTCTGCAGCCCGCGCGCCGCCCTAGACCGTGCTCGTCGCGACGCCCCTGCGGGACCCGCGCGGCGTCCCCCCCCCCTGCTCGTCGCGGCGCCCCCCTGGCCGCCGTCCCTGCTCGTCGCGGCGCCCCCGTGGCATCGCCCCTGCTCGTCGCGGCGCCCACTGGGCGCCGTCCCTGCTCGTCGCGACCCCCCGGGGCGTCGCCCCTGCTCGTCGCGGCGCCCCGTGAGCACCGTCCCTGCTCGTCGCGACGCCCCCGGGCGTCGCCCCTGCTCGTCGCGGCGCCCCTGCTCGTCGCGGCGCCCCCTGGGCGCCGTCCCTGCTCGTCGCGACGCCCCCGGGGCGTCGCCCCTGCTCGTCGCGGCGCCCCTGCTCGTCGCGGCGCCCCCTGGGCGCCGTCCCTGCTTGTCGCGACGCCCCAGGGGCGTCGCCCCTGCTCGTCGCAGCGCCCTCTGGGTGCCGTTCCTGTTCGTCGCGGCGCCCCCTGGGCGCCTTCCCTGCTCGTCGCGGCGCCCCCGGGGCGCCTTCCCTGCTCGTCGCGTCGCCCCCGGGGCGTCGCCCCTGCTCGTCGCGGCGCCCCCCCCCCTGCAGCAGCTGCCTCGGAGCCCCGCCCTGCAGCAGCTGCCTCGGATCCCCCTGCCGCCGTAGCGGCCCCGCCCTACAGCAGCTGCCGTGGAGCCGCCTGCAGCAGTCGCGGCCCCGCCCTGCAGCAGCTGCCGCGGAGCCCCCCTGCCGCCGTCGCGGCCCCGCCCTGCTGCAGCTGCCGCGGAGCCGCTTACAGCCGTCGTGGCCCCGCCCTACAGCAGCTGCCGAGGAGCCCCCTGCCGCTGTCGCGGCCCCGCACTGCAGCTGTCACGGCCCCGCCGTCGCCGCCGTCGTGCGCCTACCCTGCTCGCCCGGCGAGCAACTGCCCTTCCCGCCACTGGTGAGCACTTGCCCTACCCGCACTTCCCGCGCGCCTGCCTTACTAGCGCACTGCCACACAGCCCTGCCCGTGCTGCTACTACTGTTTCTGCTGCTACTGCTACTGCTACTACTACTCGTGCTACTTCTGCTCCTGGCGGTGGCCAGATGCAGCTCCAGCGACGTCCGCGTGAGTCCCTCACGCCCCAGCAGCTACGTGAGTGGTACGCTAGTTGGGGTTGTAGGGGTGGCCGCGCTGCTACTACTGCTACTGCGGCTACTACTGCTACATCTGCTCCTGGCGGTAGCCAGATGCAGCTCCAGCGACGTCCGCGTGAGTCCCTCACGCCCCAGCAGCCTCGTGAGTGGTACGCTAGTTGGGGTTGTAGGGGTGGCCGCGCTGCTACTGCTGCTACTGATATTACTGCTGCTACTGCTGCTACTTCGGCTACTACTGCTGCTGCTGCTCCTAGCGGTGGCCAGATGCAGCTCCAGCGACGTCCGCGTGAGTCCCTCACGCCCCAGCAGCTTCGTGAGTGGTACGCTAGTTGGGGTTGTAGGGGTGGCCGTGGTGGGAGTCGCCCTGGAGCGGGTCGTTCGGGAGCTTCTTGTAGTGACCAGGTGCAGCTGCAGCAGCGTCCACGCGCGGTCCTTTCGCCCCAGCAGCTTCGTGACTGGTACGCTCAGAGTGGAGGGTCACGGATTACTGCTCGCTGCCCGTACGTCATTCGCACTGGTGCTCGGGCTAATCAGCCTTGCGGGACGATTGGTCACAAAGAGTCCCGCAGCTTCTCCCGTCTGAGCGACGCCTAGCGTACAGAGTTTGGCGAGGCGGCTGAGCTCCCCGACTGGGTGGAGCTGCTTAGGCAGAGGGTAGATATCTTTGCTCTTGACTATGATGCTATCCTCACTGCCATGTATGCATTGCCTACTAGTGCTGAGGGTGCCTGTTACCTGTGTGTGCCGCCTGACCCAGGCATAGAGTCTGCTGCTCTAGGTGCTGGTGAGGCTGCTGCTCTAGGTGCTGGTGCGTCTCCTGCTCCAGGTGCCAGTGAGGCTGCTGCTCTAGGCGCTAGGGAGTCCACTCCAGGTGCTGGTGAGTCTGCTCTCTCAGGTACTACACCTGCTGCGGCCTTAAACACTTTCACCCTTGACTCGGGTGCTTCCCGCTCCTTTTTTTGCGAGTGCACCACTCTCTCGCCGCTCAGTCGGCCAGTGGCAGTCTCTCTGGCTGACCCCTCTGGGGGTCCGGTCCTTGCACACTCCTCCACGGTTCTGCCATGTCCGGCGGTCCCTTCTGGCTCTCTGTCTGGCCTCCACCTCCCTTCGTTCTCCACGAACTTGGTGAGTGGAGCTGACATTCAGGACGCCTGGGTTGACTAGTTCACTCCTGGAGGTCAGCGGGTGACCCACTGTTTGTGTACACAAACGGGCCGGCACCTGGCCACGTTCACCCGTCAGCCTGGGTCGAGCCTGTACACCCTGACTAACCGTGTCTCCTCCGGTTGCTGAGTCTGGTCAGGTAGCTGCGTCGGGTCAGGTGTTTGCTGCAGCGTCCTGGTCTAGTCCTGAGTCTGCCCCCTGCTCGTGTCGCCTCCTGTCTCACTAGACTCTCCTCTGGCACCACCGCCTTGGTCACCCCTCCCTGCCTCGTCTCTGAGGCATGGCCTCCCGTGTCCTTGTCACTGGTATTCCCCGGTCTCTCCCTTCCCTTCCCCCGGGGCCTGCCCCTACCTGCGTTCCTTGCGTCGAGGGGCGGCAGCGCGCCGCTCCTCACTCCTCCGAGTTCCCTCCGACGGAGGCTCCCCTGCAGACACTTCACATGGACGTGCGGGGCCCAGCCAGCGTCCGTGGCCAGGATCACGAGCGCTACTTTCTGCTGGTCATTGACGACTACTCGCGTTACACCACCGTCTTCCCCTTGCACCGCAAGGGTGAGGTCACTGAGGTGCTGATCGACTGGATCCGCGCTTCCCGTCGTCAGCTCAGCGAGAGTTTCGGCTCGGACCTTCCTGTTTTGTGTCTGCACTCCGACAGAGGTAGAGAGTTTTCCTCCAACCTTCTGCAGGCCTTTTGTCGTGCAGAGGGCATCCGCCAGACGTTTATGCTTCCGGCCTCTCCGCAGCGAAATGGGATTGCTGAGCGCCGCATTCGCATGGTCATGGACGTCGCTCGTACATCCATGATCCATGCAGCTGCTCCCAATTTTCTGTGGCCGCTCGCGGTTCAGTACGCTGCGCATCAGATCAACCTTCAGCCTCGTGTCTCCTTGCCGGAGACCACACCTACTCTGCGGTGGACGGGGAAGGTTGGCGATGCGTCTGCGCTCCGTGTCTGGGGATCTCGGGCTTTCGTCCGCGACTTGTCTGCGGACAAGCTGTCCTCCCGTGCTGTTCCCTGCGTCTTCCTTGGCTTCCCCCCTGACGCGCCTGGTTGGCAGTTTTACCACCCCACCTCGCGCCGTGTTCTGTCCTCTCAGGACGTCACGTTTGACGAGTCGGTTCTTTACTACCGTCTCTTCCCCTACCACACTGCCCCCCTCCCCCCCCCCAGGTCCTCCCCCGGTAGACCCCTCCCCCCTCAGGGTCCTGCCCCCTCAGGTGTGTCCCAGGTAGACGCAGTCGAGCCTGTCGAGGTAGCTGTTGACTCTGGTGCTGCTAGGGGTGCTGAGCCTGCGGGTGCCAGGTCTGGGGGTACTGTTCTTGAGCGTGCGGAGCCTGGGGGTGCTGAGTCTGAGGGTGCTGAGCCTGGGGTTGCTGAGTCTGGGGGTGCGGAGCCTGAGGGTGCTGAGCGTGCGCATGTGGAGTCTGGAGGTGCTGCGCCTAGAGGTCATTCGAGTGCTTCGTCCCGGCGGGAGCCACTCTCTCCACAGCAGCTGCGCGAGTCGTTTGCTCGCCGCTAGAGCCGTGCTGCTGGAGCTGGTGGTGCTACGGGCGCTGGAGGTCTTGCTGCTGCTGGATCTGCTAGGGGTTCTGGAGCCACTAGTCCCGGAGGTGCTCGTACTCGAGGTACTGGAGCTGCTAAGCCTGGTGGTGCTGCTGGGGCTGGAGCTGCTGGAGGTGCTGTAGCTGGCGGTACTGCTGGAGCAGGTGCTGCTGGAGGTACCGGGGCTGGAGCTGCTGGCGCTGCTGGGGCTTCTGGTGGTCCTGCTGGAGCTGGAGCTGTTGGGGGTGATGGAGCTGGAGGTGCTGCTGGAGCCGGTGCTCCTGTGGGAGCTGGAGTTGGCGCTACTAGAGCAGCTGGAGGTGTTGCTGGAGCTGGTGGTGCTGCTGGCGTGGGAGCTCCCGCTGGGGGTGCTGGTGCTGTCCCTGCTGGTTCTGGAGGCGCTGCGTGGCCGCGGCCGTACTACGTTCCGCTCCTTCAGCAGGTTCTTGGTCTCCCGCCTTCTACTGGTCCCGCTCCTTCCTTAGAGAGTCCACCGCCTGTCCAGTCGCAGTCACAGTTACAGTCCGCCTCCCCACTGCCTGCTCCTCCTTACACTGGTCCGACCGGAGGTCTTGCTGAGCGTCGTGAGCCTGTGTCTCGTCCTGCGTCGCCTGTTCGTGCTGCTAGCACTACTCGTCGTGGTTCACGCCAGCGTCCTCCTCCTGTCCCTGGCACGCACCGGATGGCTTTGCGCCCTTCTACTGCTCCGCAGCGTGTCTCTCTGCCGTCTCCTCCTGCGTCCTCTCTTCCTGCCCTTGCTGACCCGGAGTCTAACTCCCTTCGTGCTGCTAGTCCTGCTATCACGCGTCTCCTGGCCACTGTTGTCACTGACCCTTCCTTTGAGTCCACTGCTACGTCTGCCTTAGTTGCTGAGCTTGTCGACTTTGCTGCTCACTGTCGTCTAGACCACGCCGCGAGTCTTGTTGCTGAGTCTGAGTCTGTCTGTCCTCCGTCCGTCGGGGGTGAGTGTGCTCTTGGCACGGACGTCCTTGAGGACAGGCAGGAGGACTTTGAGTGCTTTGCAGCTGATGTACCTCACCTCGTGTTCATGCTGATTGCACCTGAGGGAGACCCGGATGCATCAGACATCCCGACCCCGCACTCTTAGACAGAGGTGATAGAGGGTCCCTACTCCTCTCAGTGGCAGTCAGCCATGGACGCAGAGATGACATCCTGGAAGTCCACATACACCTACGTCGACAAGACTCCCCCTCCTGGGGCGAACATCGTCAGTGGCATGTGGATTTTCAGGGTGAAGCGGCCGCCAGGTTCTCCGCCTGTCTTCAAGGCGCGTTACGTTGCTCGAGGCTTCAGTCAGCGACAAGGAGTTGACTTCTTCCAGACCTTCTCTCCGACCCCGAAGATGACCACTCTTCGGGTTCTGCTGCACGTCGCTGCTCAGCGTGACTACGAGCTTCACTCTCTTGAGTTCAGCACTGCTTTCCTATAGGGCAGCCTGCACGAGGAGATCTTGCTGCGCCGCCCACCTGGCTTCACCGGCTCGTTTCCTGCAGGTACCCAGTGGAGCCTCCGGCGGCCAGTCTACGGTCTCCGCCAGGCGCCCCGTGAGTGGCACGACACACTGAGGACTACGCTTGTGGCTCTTGGGTTTGCTCCTTCTACTGCTGACATGTCGCTGTTTCTGCGCACCGACACTTCGCTGCCGCCGTTCTACATCCTCGTGTACGTCGACGACTTGGTCTTTGCTACTGCTGACACTGAGGGACTCGCCCACGTGAAGTTGGAGCTGCAGAAGAGACACACGTGCACAGACCTGGGTGAACTGCGCAGCTATCTTGGCTTGCAGATGACCCGGGACAGAGCACGGCGCACCATTACCTTGCCTCAGTCACACATGGTGCTGCAGGTCCTTCAGCGCTTCAACTTCACGTACTCCTCGCCTCAGGCCACTCCTCTGTCTACTCGCCACTCGCTCTCAGCTCTGCCTTTGGATGAGTCCGTAGAGCCGAGTGGCCCATACCCAGAGCTTGTTGGCTGCCTCATGTACCTAATGACCTGCACTCGACCTGACCTGGCATACCCTCTTAGCATCTTGGCACGCTATGTTGCTCCTGGGAGACATCGACCAGAGCACATGGCTGCAGCTAAGAGGGTGTTGCGCTACCTGTGCAGTGCGTCGGGCATGGGGCTCGTGCTTGGAGGACGGGCTCGAGTTGTCCTCACTGGTCACGCAGACGCTTCTTGGGTTGACGACTTGGCTACGCAGCGGTCGTCACAGGGTTACACCTTCAGCCTTGGTTCTGGCTCTGTTTCGTGGCGGTCTACCTGCTTGTCTTCTGTTCTTGGCTTTAGTTGTGAGGCTGAGATCTACGCGGGGGCCATGGCTGTACAGGAGTTACGCTGGCTCACCTACCTGCTGACCGACTTGGGAGAGGTGCCTCGTTCTCCTCCAATTCTGTACGTCGACGATAAGGCCATGCTGGCCTTGTGTCAGGAGCACAGTCTGGAGCACAGAACGAATCACATTGCTCTGCGCTACTTCCTTGCTCGAGAGTTGCAGCAGTGGGTCAGCTTCGTCTTGCGTACGTGGCCTCTCGGGCCAACACTGCTGATATCTTTACCAAGGCACTTCAGCCTTGTGATCATCAGCGTTTCTGTACTATGCTAAGTCTTGCTTACCTCTTGACTTTGTTTGTACTGTGATCTATATATACCTGCACCTGCATGCTTACCCTTGCTAGGTTGAGATCACTGTCTTGCTTGTTCACCTTGCTTTATAATCCTGCATGTGAACTGGCCTTGTGGCCTTGAACTGGTGCTCAAAATGTGTGGTGACGTTGTGATCCACCCTGAGCTTGCTTGGCTTCTCTTGACTGGTCTTGTGACCTCTTGTTCTCCCCCACTTTGCCTATGGGGGTGTGTCAAACTTGTATGTAATAGTCTGTGTAGGCTGTAGTGGGGTAGTTCATATGGGGTACAACACTTTAGGGTTTACCACTTGTACTCCTCATGCTGCTCAATGAAATCTTTCCTCGTTCTTATTTCTCACACCACGTGGCTTCGCCCTGGAAAAAATCTACTGTTGCTTCTGAGCCATTCGAGAGCTGGACCGTGCATCAACGTTATCGCGAGACGAACTTTTTCGCCGTCGTACTCCGTCGTCGACCATCCGATCGCCGCGAAATCAATTTCGATAGTTGCAAGCCATCGCTTGACGTCGGATTTTTTGTCGCTGGGGTCGAATGATTCCGGCGAGCGAAGTTTCAGAACCTCGAACTGACGCTGCGGCTGCTGCGAAGTCGCCGAAGGAGGAATGTGTTGAGTGATGCTACCATTCGCATTCACGTCTGTCTGCCTCCCATCATATGTTCGTGCGTTGCATGCGTGTTGTGAGTGTGTGCAAGAATTTGTGTTTTGTGCGGTTTGGTTTTTCTGAGTGTGTGTGTGAATGTTATTTGGCTTGAGCAGATATCTGAAGTGACTCCTCTGCTCAAGAGCTTTCCGAGGAACCAAGTATCGCTTCAATCGGAGCACGAACTAGAAAGTTACGAACGTTGGAGTTCGTATGCTTTTGATATTTGGTTGTGGTGACTATGGGAAGTTGTGGGGTTGACTCAATATGGGGTACAGACTTTTGGGGGTTGGGAAATTCGTCTTTTCTACTGTAGTTGCTGCCAAATGGTTGGGAGAAACCAAACCAGGTTGGCAAGTGTGGCCAAGTTGGGTTGAGGTGGATTGTGGAGGTTGGGATAGTGACAAAGGTCAAAGTTGGGTTGCCTATGGGGAAGGGAATTGTATGGCATGGGGTTTCCTTGGTTGGGGACTCTCTTGGGACCTTCCCTCTCGTCCTCCTCATCCCCTCCTACCTGGTTCCATTGCTACTCTAACTTTCTTGTGTGAACTTGTGAGATCATTGTGATTGAGTTACCTTTTCTATGGCAGCATACCCCCTAGTGCGCCGAAGTTCATAACTCGAGTTATACTCCATATTCTGATACTATTCAAGTTGGGAAAGATAGCCACGGTCAAGGGCTACAACATACTCGAGTTTGAAAGAATTCTAACGGTGGACCTTTCGTCGACGACGTTTCTTGTGACGACGACTTTTCTGTCCAGAATTGTAGTTGACGATTTTGAGATATTTCAGCCCCTAATCTTCATAGACTCCGTCCTTAATCTATAACAGAATGTTCATGGTCGAGAGGAACTGCGTACGCGCTGCAGTTCGTTTCGCAGCTGCTCGTTCTCCAATCGCGACCGTTTGGTCGTCGCTCGCATCTCCGCTTCCATCTTGGCGATTTGCGCGAAGAGCTGCTGCGTAACGTCGTTGGTCGCCGGCGAACCCATCCTGTTCAGAAACCACGCGAAGGGGGTTAATTGGAAAAGCGCGGAACTGGTCCTTACCAGAAATCGGCGTCGAATTGGTCGCCCCCGGCGGTTTTTCGAGGCGATTTTTTCTGCGACCGCTGCTTAGCCGAGAGTTGTCGAGTGAGAACGGCTCTGATTACCAAGTGTCATAGGATCGAATTCTCAATCGAAACTTGTCACTAAAACTGAATGCAAGGCGTTTTTATACTAGGAAAATACAATGATAAACGAGATAAAATGAACCTTCGTGAACACGCCCTTCCCGATACTACAATCACAAGTGCGCACAAGCACGCAAGGCTATTGGCACTTGGGATTACGCCCAGATTACACTGTGTACACCACTGTCGGCGCTGTCGGTGCCGTATAACAGATATGTCAGTGGAAAATAAGACAAATAAATAGAAGGCTCTAGAAAATAGAATAGTAAGCCGATTGAGATGAGATAAAGACCAAAATAAAGAAGAGAAAATGGAGATTACGATAAAAGAAAAATATTATAATGAGAAAATATTATGACGGCGAAGTCCTCTCACAGCTTCCCCCATGACTATCAGTGCTGCCTAGGCTGTCAGCCGAGTAAAACACTCGATTATCGCAATAGGCCAGGCACCTCCCCCAGGCCTGGCCAAAGCTAGGGGGCGTGATGCTGTTAGCAGGTCTGCTACTGAGCCTGGGAATTTCACTCCCAACATGGTGTTTACCAGGACGTGCAGGTGGGTGCTGGCCGATGCGTTGGTTATCGCCGCGTCGCGCACGTACTCGAATGTCGTGCCTGACGGTCCGGCCCCCACGCCGTTTTCGCATCTTTCCATAAGTTTGGTGAATTCGGCGTGGGTGATGGACAAAGTTGACGTTGGCGTCGCCTGCCAGGTCAACGTCTTGTTCATCCATAATATCTGGACTGGGTGTGCAGACGGGAGTTTGTTATAGTCACAATAGGCTTGAATGTGCCTAAAACGAAAGATAGAGAGCACAGACGGATTTCTGCACAGCGGCTTCAAACGTTGGTAGCGTTCTGCTCACAGCTGCAAATGACTTGATTCAAATTGGATCTGGAGCGTCTTCACGTCGTCTACAATTAGCAATTTAGATTGCACGATTTGATGAAGAATTGACGACACAGCGTCAGTTTGAACGAACGGTACTATGGCAGCCACTATAGTCTTAGAACACAAGATAGGAAGAGTTACGAGTTGTGAATGACTCCCAGCTCCTACAAACCCCAAGAGCCGAGGTACAGTGATGTGGAACAGTGCCACACTGTCCCCAACCACGAAGGGTCTCGAAACTACCCTTCACTAGGGCCTACACCAAGTGAAATGTTACACTACACAAAGTAATGTAACTATCTTCAATATCTTGAGGTGTACCCTTTTGGCAAGCTTCGAAATCACTTGAGGCTTGACACCAAGGCTCGGGCTCTTCATCACAAACTCATCCTTGAGTTCTTGATGGGTCTGCTGCACACACCTGCGACACGCCGAACGTTCGACACAGGACAAAATAGAAACCGCGCACGACAAAATAGAAACCGCGCGCGAGACACAAACGACCGCGTAACACGCGTCTAGCGATAACTCGCTATTGACTCGACACACACACTCGACATCATGACTCAACATTCACACACAATTATAAGCATGAAATATATATTATCCCATGCCCTCATACCATTCCATACGCACACACATTCACGCACACGGACAACAAGCCGAGTGCAAACCGTAGGGTTGCACCAACAGAGTTGACTCCAGTGCCATTACGGCTCGGCGCAGGCTGCCACGTTTCGCAAGGCCCTCGGCTCGGCTGATGACTCCAGTCACATCGGGCTGGTGTCATGGCAGTGGAGGGGTGTTGACTGCTTCTACCGTGTCGTGGTACAACTGTTCCCATTCGCCATGCTAGAACGTTCTGAGCCGAGCCTTGACCTGTAGCCCGTTCAGTTGTTGTGGCGAGGTTTGGCGTAGTGTCACGCACGGGAGAAAAAGCAGCAGGCGCCATCCCGCTTCGGACTCTAAGTTTCGCGAAAGGTGTAGTAGCAAGGTCAGCAGTACCAACAAAAACAGTTGATACAGGTTTGGCGGTAAATGCCGTGACAGAGATGGATGTCAACTAGTGCAGAAATATCCCACTTTGCGATGTCAGAGAACTTGTCTGCTTGCTTTGCCAGCTCCTCTGGCAAAAAATAGCAGGAATTTTCGAGAACTGGTTGCACCGCGGTTTCGGTAGTGCCGGTTCGATCTCGCCGAGCGCGGTTCGATCTCGTGGCCGATGGTAGGGTTGGAATTACGCCTGTTCGATCAGCATCAAACCATCCTCTGACTGCTCCAGGTCTTTGCGGGGCTAACTGCTTTGTGCCTACTTCCCCTCTCTCAGCTGTCTCCCTCGCCCCTTCTTCTTCGCCCAATTCTCCACTCTTGCTTACGGTAGTTGTTCCTCCCTATATATGGGGTCTGTTCGTTCCTCGACTTCATTAGTTTCTTCAAAGTCGATTAAAGCCCTGCGCCGCGCTGCTTGATACCCGTTCTCCGGACCCCCGCCTGCTCCGCTAACGGCTTGTCTCCCCGCTCTGCAACCTCCACGTCCATGGGATGATTGCCGGAGGGCCTGAGCTGTCGCCAGCGCACGCTGTCGCCGCGTCAGCTGCGTTTGCCAAGCCCCAGTCGCGGCACGGAATGGCTCACTGTGCCGCCAACTCCGAAGCCCGTGACAATAACCTCCAGAATGCCTCACTCCCCTGCACCCGTGGTTCCTGTTGCGTCTTTTGCTGCTCCTGCTGCTCCCCTCTGTGCCGCTAGCGTTAGCCCCTGCTGCGACTGTCGTTGGTCTGCCGCTTGCCGTCCTTGCTGCTCCGCCTGTGGGCATCGAGTAGGCGGTTTTGCTTGCGCCGGGGCAACGCAACTGGTGGTGTCCCCCACCACTGACGCCCTGGGCCCGGTAGCTATCTCTGTCGCTCCCGCTCCTCCGACTACGGCGACACTAGTGCCGCTCGCGTCCAACCAGGCTGTTCCTGATCATGCACCGCTTGCTGCTGCTCTGCCCGCTTAGCGCCCGCCGTCTCCAGGCAGCCGGCAGAACCGGCCTCCTCCCTTGCGCCTCGTGACGAGCGGGAGCAGTCAAGGTGGCGCCATGACTCTCCTCGTTGCCGTGGTTCCCAGGCGAATTGGGTTGCGTCTCGCGGTGGCCGTGGTGGCTGGTGGGGAGGGCACAGTCGTGGTGGGGACGGGGCGTATGATCGGCCAGTGTCGATGGCTGATTTGCAGCGCGTTGTGTCTGCTGCGGTGCGCGAGGAGCGGAACGGGCAGGCGAGCAGGAGCAACTCGCCGCGCGGTGCCCCAACACATGCGTCTCCTCTTCCTGTTGCGGCCACTCCATCTGCAACTCCTCTTCCCCGGTCGGATGTTCCTCCTCCCTTTACTCCCGCTGCATTTGCCGCCGCTCATGGGAATTGCATGCGCCTGCCGTGGATTCCTCCTGTGGCGGGTATTGAGTTTGTGACCACGGCAGGGGGAAATGTGACAGCGCAATATCCGTTCCTCCTGTCTGTGGGTCGTGCTCCTCCGGCTGTTGCGCTGCCAGTACAGTCATTGGTGGGCCTCGTGCTTCAGCGGAGGTGCCGGAGGCATCTCTGGGGCAATTGTCGCGCCTCTTGGAGGGTCTGCAGGCTGTGCACCTGATTCAGGTGTATGGGCACGCGGCTCTTTCCCAGGGTGTTTCTTTGGATGGCGGCCCTCGGGACGAGTGCCTAGATGCCGCAGATCGGTTTGCCAAGCTCATGGCGCCCGTGATGGCTGCGCCCGTGCGGGGTGGAGTTGCGGGCATTGAACGGCTTCGGAATGCTCTCCGTGGTCAGCGCCGGGTTTTGCACGCAGGGACTGCAGTCGACTTGATCGGCGCAACCACAGTGGTGGTGCGCGAGATTCATCGCTCGCTGACGGGGCTCCTTGCTATTCTTGACGCGGATCAGATGTAGTATCCGCCGATGCCCCCTCCATGCTTTCCCTAGGACGTAGTGTTGCTTAGGCCAATGTTGCTATTGCCATTGCGTGTATGGTGTTGCATTGATCACTTGCTTGGTATTCCCCTTGCCACCCGACGGAGGCTCCCCTGCAGACTCTTCACATGGACGTGTGGGGCCCAGCCCGTGTCCGTGGACAGGGTCACGAGCGCTACTTTCTGCTGGTCGTTGATGACAACTCGCGTTACACCACAGTCTTCCCCTTGCGCCGCAAGGGTGAGGTCACTGAGGTGCTGATCGACTGGATCCGCGCTTCCCGTCGTCAGCTCAGCGAGAGTTTCGGCTCGGACCTTCCTGTTCTGCGTCTGCACTCCGACAGAGGTGGAGAGTTTTCCTCCAACCTTTTGCGAGCCTTCTTTCGTGCGGAGGGCATCTTCCAGACGTTCACGCTTCCGGCCTCTCCGCAGCAAAATGGGATTGCTGAGAACCGCATTGGCATGGTCATGGACGTCGCTCGTACGTCCATGATTCATGCGGCTGCTCCCCATTTTCTGTGGCCGTTCGCGGTTCAGTACGCTGCGCTTCAGCTCAACCTCCAGCCCCGGGTCTCCATGCCGGAGACCACACCTACTCTGCGGTGGACGGGGAAGGTTGGCGATGCGTCTGCGTTCCGTGTCTGGGGATCTCGAGCTTTCGTCCGCGACTTGTCTGCGGACAAGCTGTCCCCCCGTGCTGTTCCCTGCGTCTTCCTTGGCTTCCCCCCTGACGCGCCTGGTTGGCAGTTTTACCACCCCACCTCGCACCGTGTTCTGTCCTCTCAGGACGTCACGTTTGACGAGTCGGTTCCTTACTACCGTCTCTTCCCCTACCGCACTGCTCCCCTCCCCCCCCCGCCGCTTTTCCTTGCGCCAGTACCTCCCTCGGTAGACCCCCTCCCCCCTCAGGGTCCTGCCCCCTCAGGTGTGTCCCAGGTAGACGCAGTCGAGCCTGTTGAGGTAGCTGTTGACTATGGTACTGCTAGGGGTGCTGAGCCTGCGGGTGCCGGGTCTGGGGGTGCTGAGCCTGAGCGTGCGGAGCCTGGGGGTGCTGAGTCTGGGGGTGCTGAGCCTAAGGGTGCTGAGCCTGGGGTTGCTGAGTCTGGAGGTGCGGAGTTTGAGGGTGCTGAGCCTGCGCGTGTGGAGTCTGGAGGTGCTGAGCCTGGAGGTCCTTCGGGTGCTTCATCCCGGAGGGAGCCACTCTCTCCACAGCTGCTGCGCGAGTGGTTTGCTCGGCGCAGGAGCCGTGCTGCTGGAGCTGGTGGTTCTACTGGCGCTGGAGGTCCTGCTGCCACTGGAGCTGCTGGGGGTGCTCGAGCCACTGGTCCCAGAGGTGCTCGTACTGGAGGTACTGGAGCTGCTGGGCCAGGTGGTGCTGCTGGAGCTGGTGCTTCTGGAGGTGTTGGAGCGGGCGGTGCTGCTGGAGCGGGTGCTGCTGGAGGAGCTGGAGCTGGTGCTACAGGAGCTACTGGGGCTTCTGGTGGTCCTGCTAGAGCTGGCGGTGCTGCTGGATCCGGTGCTTCTGGAGGTGCTGGAGTTGGCGTTGATGGAGCTGCTGGAGGTACTGTTGGAGCTGGTGGTGCTGCAGGTGTTGGAGCTAACGCTGGGGGTGCTGGTGCTGTCTCTGCTGGTTCTGGAGGCGCTGCGCGGCCGCGGCCGTACTTCATTCCGCTCCTTCAGCATGTTCTTGGTCTTCCGCATTCTGCTGGTCCTACTCCTTCCTTAGAGTGTCCACCGCTTGTCCAGGGTGAAGCGGCCGCCGGGTTCTCCGCCTGTCTTCAAGGCATGCTACGTTGCTCGAGGCTTCACTCAGCGACAGGGAGTTGACAACATTCAGACCTTCTCTCCCACCCCAAAGATGACCACTCTTTGGGTGCTGCTGCACGTCGCCACTCAGCGTGACTACGAGCTTCACTCTCTTGACTTCAGCACAGGCTTCCTACAGGGCAGCCTGCACGAGGAGATCTGGCTGCGCCGCCCACCTGGCTTCACTAGGTCGTTTGTTTTCTCTCTTAGTAGAGGATTCATAGGGGGGAGGAGGACAAATACACAAAACGAGCGAAGGATGGGTGCGTTAGGATGGCCCAATACGCCAGGTTCATGGTGCACAAGGAATCTGCGGAATTATGCTCGATTATTAGGAAGACAGCAGACCTGGCCATCCGTGACCGGTCCTCAGGGGCAGTTTGGATTGGAGATGTCACCATCACTGACCCCATCAGCTAACGTGACCCCAATGCAGTGAAAGGAAGGGGGTGGGCTGCCACGGAAGTAGCCGACAAAAAAATATCAGATTACTACGGCTCCCTGGCAGCCTACTAGAGACCCTTGTTGAAATCTAGATGGGCTGGTGGTAGTTAGGTATTGGTGTAGTATTTGTTTCTTTATTTCTTTGCTGCCCCACCTTGTGTTCTTGTACTCCCCGAGAGAGAGGCTTGTTCCTATCCTTAGCCTCTGCTCTCGGCCCTTAGGCCCCTGCCCTCAGCCTTCCTAACTATAAAGGGGCCTCTTTGACCTCTTTCCATTCATTGTGTGCGGCATAAATTTTTTTTTACGCTTGATGACGCAGCCTGCGGCCGCGCTGAGGGAACTCGGAGGAGTGAGGAGCGGCGCGCTGCCGTTCCTCGACGCAAGGAACGCAGGTAGGGGCAGGCCCCGGGGGAAGGGGAGGGAGAGACCGGGGCAAACCAGTGACAAGGACACGGGAGGCCATACCTCGGAGACGAGGCAGGGAGGGGTGACCAAGGCGGTGGTGCCGGAGAAGGGTCTGGTGAGACAGGAGGCGACACGAGCAGGGGGCAGACTCAGGACCTGACCGGGACGTTGCAGCAAACACCTGCCCAAACGCGACTACCTGACCAGACCCAGTAACTGGAGGAGACACGGTAGACAGGGTGTACAGGCTCGACCCAGGCTGACGGGTAAACGTGGCCAGGTGCCGGCGCGTCCGAGTACACGAACAGTGGGTCACCCGCTGACCTCCAGGAGTGAACTGGTCAACCCACGCGTCCAGAAGGTCAGCTCCACTCACCAAGTTCGTGGAGAACGAGGGGAGGTGGAGGCCAGACAGAGAGCCAGACGGGACCGCCGGACACGGCAGAACCGTGGAGGAGTGTGCAAGGACCGGACCCCCAGAGGGGTCAGTCAGGGAGACTGCCACTGGCCGACTGAGCGGCGAGAGTGTGGTGCACTCGCGAAAGAAGGAGCGGGAAGCACCGGAGTCAAGGGTGAAAGTGTGTAAGGCCTGAGCCGACGCGGTACCTGAGAGAGCAGACTCACCAGCACCTGGAGCAGCAGACTCACTAGCACCTAGAGCAGCAGCCTCAATGCCCGGGTCATGCGGCACATACAGATAACAGTCACCCTCAGCACTAATAGTCACAGCATACATAGCAGCAAGGATAGCATCATAATCAAGATCAAAGATAGCAACCCCCGACTTAAGCAGATCACCCCAGCGAGGGAGCTCAGTGGCTTCAGGAAACAGTGGTGCGTGGCGTGCGGCCCTCCGCACGTCTCTCCATTGCGCTCGACGGTGCGGAGAACGTAAGCACAGGGACCAGCACCCCCAGACCTCCCACGCCCAGCGTACCACTCACAAAGCTGTTGGGGCGACAGGGCCTCACGAGAACGCTGCTGCTGCTGGCGCTGGCCAATGCCAAAGCCTCCCCGCTGCACAGCGCCACCCCGACCAGCACCACCGCCGCCGCCACCCCCACTGCCGCTGTCGCCGCCGCCTCCACCTCCACCACCGCCACTGAAGCCCCCACTCCCGCCACCACCCCCACCTCCACCCCCACCCCCTCCGCCGCCTCCACCGACACCACCGCCGCCCCCGCCATCTCCTCCAGCACCCTTGTTCCCCTTACTCCTGCCGCTGCAGCGCCTCCCACTAGGAGCAGATGCAGCGCCGACCGACTCAGTGCCAACAAGGTCAACAGCAGCAGCAGAGGCAACAGAGGGCAAAAGGGGGACGGGGGAGCACCCCTCAAAGAAAGGGGTACAAGGGTCACCACGAGAGGCTCCTACAGCAACTATACTCTTCTCAGCTGCAAGGAGGCGCTCCTCGAGGAGGTCAACGGTGAGCGTGGTGGGGCAAAGGGAGAGGAAGTGGTCCTTGACCGAGCGAAGGGAGTCAGGGAGCTGGGTGACTAGATAGTAGAGAGTGATGTACATAGGGGGGGGATTCTTGGCGCAGAACTCGGGAGGAAGCGCAGCGCGGTAGCGGGTGTCACTTGTGCGGAGGTGGATAATGAGGTCAGCGACTGTGGCAAAAGCGGCTAGGTCAGGGAACAAGTACGGCAGCATGAGGCGGCTAAGGGCAGCAGTGGCAGGGGAGGAGTAGCGCGCAACAACAGCGTCATACAAAGTCTTAGTAGTCTTGTACTAGCTAAAGTGCGCGCGCTCAGCAGACGGCAGGTGACTACGAACAGCAAGACGAGCAGCAGCATCACGCGTGGTCCACTGCGAGCGAACTGCACTGTCAGCATCGGCAGCAGGTGCAACAGAGACGCCGGACGTGCGATCGAACAGTGAGACTCTGTCCCTAGAGTCGCACTGCAGAAAAATCTGCAGATCATCGACCCGGACCTTGAAATCGACTGCCCGACCCTCAGCATCGAAGGTAAGTACATTAGGGTTAGCCATGGCGGCAGTAGTAGTAGCAGTAGCAGTAGCCGTAGCAGTAGCAACGCGACTCGGCAGGGCGGCGCGGCTCGGCAGGGCGGCGCGGCTCGGCAGGGCGGCGCGGCCAGTCAGGGCGACGCAGATGCGGCAGTGCGCTTACTAGGGGCAGGATTGGGGTAGGGCTGCGACTGGTAGGGCAGGGTCGTGGCGCGCGAGCAGGGCAGGGGCCGCGACAGGCAGGGCCGCGACGAGGCGGCAGGGCAGGGCCGCGACGAGGCGGCGGGAGAGAAGGGGCCGCGACCGGGCGGCAGCAGGGCAGGGCCGCGTCTCGGCAGCTGCAGGGAGGGCCGCGCCGGGGCCGCGACAGAGCAGGGCCGCGACTAGGGGCGGCAGGTCAGGGCCGCGTTGGGCGGCGAAAGGAGGCCGCAGCGGGCGGGTAGGGCAGGGCCGTGACTACAACTAAGGAGGGGGAGGGGGGGGTGCTAAGGGCGACGAAGGGGCCACGACGGGCCGTTAGGGTGAGGGCGCGACGGGCCTCACGGGCAGAGTCACGACGGGCGGCAGGAGGGCAGAGCGCGCGACTGCGCAGGGAAGGTAGGCGCGAGGCGCGCTTCGGGCAGGGCAGGAAAAAGAAAAGTTACTAACACGGTGGGCCCTAAAAAAAACGTTCCCACTAGGGAACCTGCTCTGAAACCATGTCACAAAGTAGGAAACGACAATGACTAGAAACAGGACAGTACAGGGTTTGTATAGGCAAAACCTAACAGGACTGTACCCCATAAGGAGTGCCCCACTACAGCCTACAAGATAGTTCTGATACATAATATATAATATGATAACCTGGGTACAAGGCGAGGCTACATATAGGCTTGACACAAACGTTTTGCGGGTGTTATTGGAAGGTTTTGCGGGTTGCAAAGCGTCCTAAAGGGGTTCTTCCCAAAGTCGGTAGAAGGCAATTCAGTGGCAACCGTAAAGCCTAAAATTCGGCGCACTCGACCTAGTTCAGTGCAATATATAAAAAAAAAACTATGAGTCTAGCAATAAAGTCTAGCAAAGCTAGACTTTGCGTAATAAAGCAAAATCAAGCAATTAAAATCTAGCAAAGTCGTCGTACTCTCGCAGCGCTAGGATGTTGAGAGGGTACGCAATGTCAAGTCGAGTGCATGTCATTAGGTACATGAGGCAGCCCACAACCTTTGGATACGGACCACTCTGCTCTATGGACTCGTCCAAAGGTGGAGCTAAGAGCGAGTGGCCCGTAGGCAGAGGACTGGACTGTGGCGAGGAGAACTGGAAGCCGAAGCGTTGAAGGAACTGGTGCACCATGTATGCCTGAGTCAGAGTGATGGTGCGCCGCACTCTGTCCCGTGTGATCTGCAAGCTAAGATAGCTGCGCAGTGCAGGTGTGTCTCTTCTGCAATTCCACCTTCACAAGGGCCAGTGCCTTAATGTTAGCAGTAGTAAAGACCAAGTTCTCGACGTACACGAGGATGTAGAACGGTGGCAGAGAAGGGTCAGGTGCGCAGAAACAGCGATGGGTCAGCAGTCGAAGGAGCAAACCCAGGAGCCACAAGTCTAGTCCTCAGCGTGTCGTGCCACTTGCGGGGCGCCTTACGAAGACCGTAGACTGGCCGGTGAAGGCTCTACTGGGTACCCTCAGGAACCGCCCCTGTGAAGCAAGGTGGACGGCGTAAGCAGATCTCCTCGTGAAGGTTGCCCTGTAATGAAGCTGTGCTGAAGACAAGCAAGTGGAGCTCGTAGTCACGCTGTGCTGCAACATGCACTAACACCCAAAGAGTGGTCATCTTCGGGGTGGAGGAGAAGGTCTGGAAGAAGTCGACCCCCTATCGCTGACTAAAGCCTCATGGAACGAAACGCGCCTTGGAGGTAGGCGAAGAACTCGGCGGCCGCTTCATTATGAAAATCCACATGCCATCGACTATGTTCGCCCTGGGATGGGGGACTACGTCGATGTAGGTGCCTGTGAACTTCCAGGAAGCCATCTCTGCATCCATGGCTGTCAGCCACTAAGAGGAGTACTCACCCGTGAGTTCCTCTGTGTAAGAGCGCGGGGTTGGGATGTCTAGTGCATCCGGGTCTCCCTTAGGGCAAAGCAGCATGAAAGCGAGATGAGGTACAGCAGCCGCAAGGCACTCGAGCTCAAACTACCTATCCTAGGACGTCACTACCAAGGGCAAGCTCAGCCCCGAGAGACGGAGGACAGTCAAAAGTCAGACTCAGTAACAAGACTCGCAACGTTGTCTAGACTACAGGAAGCAGCAAACTCAACCAAGGCAGAAGCAGCAGTATACTCAACGGAAGGGTTAGTGACAAGGGAGGCCAGGAAACTCGTGACAGTAGGGCTAGCAGCACGAGCAAGGTCAGACTCTGGGTCAGGAACGTCAGAAAGAGAGGTCTCCAGAAGAGACGGAAGAGTAACACACTGTGGAACAAAGGAAGGGCGAAGTGCCATAGTGTGTGTGCCGGGGACTGGTGGAGGACGAAAATGATGAGCAGGACGAACAATGCGAACTGGCGAGGCAGGACGAGACGCAGGCTCACGACGCTCTGTCAGGGAGTCTGTTGACTCAGTGAAAGGAGAAGGTGCAGTCAGTGGGGAGTCAAACGGTGCGTCTGAGATGGGTCAGCCGGTGGACACAGTATGGGAGGAGTAAAGCTAGATGGAAGACTAGGAATATGGCAAAGTGCCGAGCCAGGTGGTCATAAGAAGGGCGGTCACCGCTGCTCAGTACCCACAGTACCAGAACTCAGAGCTCCAATACCTCCAACACCTCCAACACCTCCACCTCCAGCACCTCCAGCACCAGTACCTCCAGTACCAACAGCTCCGGTAGCTCCAACACCAGTACTCCCAGCTCTAGTGCCTCCATCACCAGTACCTCCAGCACCAGCACCTCCAGCACCGAGAGCCCAAGTAGATCCAGCACCTGCACCTCCAGCACCGATAGACCCAGTAGCTCCAGCACCAACACCTCCAGTACCAATGCCTCCAGCACCAGTACCTCTAGCTCTAGTGCCTCCAGCACCAGCACCTCCTGCCCCAGCACCTCCAGCACCAGTAGCTCCAGCTACAGCGCCTCCATCACCAACAGCTCCAACGCCTCCAGCTCCAGTACCTCTAGCTCCAGCACCTCCAACACAAACAGCTCCAGTAGCTCCAGCACCAGCACCTCCTGCCCCAGCACCTCCAGCACCAGTACCTCCAGCTACAGCGCCTCCATCACCAACAGCTCCAGTAGCTCCAGCACTAGTGCCTCCATCTCAAGCGCCTCCTGCACCAGTACCTCCAGCTCCAGCGCCTTTTGCACCAGTACCTCCAGCACCAACAGCTCCGGTAGCTCCAGCAACAGTACCTACAGCTCCACCACCTCCAACGCCAGTACCTCCAGCTGCCGTGGCGAGAGAGCCTCCTGTCAACGAGATTGTTGATCAGGATCCGCCAATTTGAGATCTTACGACGAACTCATTACTCAACTAAATGCAAATCCGCTCGGTAGGCGTGACCCCATCTGCTCCAATCTGTTTCAGCTGGCCGCCAGCTGAAAACTGAACACCAGCAGATGCCATTGATCCGAGGTAGCGCACCAAGAACTTTGCCACCTCCAACTACTACTCAGTGGGCCGCAGGGTTATGAGAGCAGACAAGGCAAAACTTTGCTTCGTTGAAACTCCCACAACATTAGAAGACATGGCAACACAGAAGGAGAGAAGCTCCTCTAACGGCTCTCCCGGCACTACTCCTACTCCACCTCCAGCCTCTGGTCTACAGACAGAGAGAGGCACAGCAACAAAACCAGCTGCTGAATCTACTGAAACTCCTGCGAACGAGGCAACAGGCTTCGACCCAAACATGATGGAGTAATTCTTCTCCTTCATGTCCTTCTACGAACAACACCAGCAAGCAGCACATGCGCAGTCAAACAATAGCAACAACAACAACGGTGTCACACCCATGAGTCTTGATGGCTCATCCTATGCGCGCGGAAATCAGCAACAACCCACCTTCACTCCGTACGAGCCTCAACGCCACTCCATCAGCTTCATGCCGCATCAGTAGCCTTCACCTGGACAAGAGAAGACACTGGAGGCACTTCAAGTACAATCGCAGTTCGCGCACGTTCTAAAACTACAAACATCAAGACCATTCTACGGCAAAGACTTCTATACCTGGTCATTCGAGTTCGAACTGATGATGGAAGGCGCGCAAATCCTCGGATTCTTCGACGGTTCCCTGCCATACCCAACGTACGGAACACGGTACAACAAGCAGCATTATAAATATCAGTCACTGATGGCGTACACAATCATGCTACGAAACATAACGCCGAATGAGCACCAGAACATGAGGTCTTATCGTGGATACGGCAACTCCGCCGAGCTCGCATATAGCCACTTGAAGAACCTGTATCAAGCAACAGACGGTGTTAATCAGAGTTATTTAATGGCACAGCTGACAACAGTGGAAATGAAACCCGGCGAAAAGGGAATGGCGTATGTTAGCCGATGTCGCGGACTACGCGACAGACTCCTTCGATGCGGCGGATCAATCTCCGAAGAAGCCTTCGTCACAGTAGTCATCACAGGCCTCGGTCCTCACTGGCGCTCCACTCGAGCTATTCTCCGAGCTCACAGGAAGATCTCCGGAGCGGCACTCTGTGTCAAAATCCACGCTGAACAGCAGGACATGGACCTGCATGAAGAACGTCACACGAAACGAGCATCAGCATCCGAGTTCGTGTTTCATACTCAACGACGCTACAACAACAACAACAACAACAACAACCGACAGAACAAGTATCAAGCACAACATCTCGTACCTCCGTTCTGTCATCTCTGCAAAACGTCAGGTCACCCTCGCACACACTGCCCAAATCGACAGCAGTCAACGGCACCGCACCGTCAACTTCGACCTTCCCGCAGTCAGGTGGCCTCCACACAGGCGCATCCCACCAATCAAACGCAGTCTTCAACGACATCAACGACGCAACCTGCACAAGGAACAAGAAATATCGTCAGTTGCATGACAAAGATAACAGACTCCTGCGTCACCGAATCACAACCACACTACTCACCAGAAGAACTACTCGACAAAAGTACTCCTCGACGCGAATCTTTGGAGCCGAACTCGACATACGCAGCCATCGCCTAGAGCGAGCCGTCTGGAAAAGACACCTGGTTCTTGGACAGCTGCTGCGGACAGCACATGTGCTCCTCGGGTCACTTCGTTCAACAGAAACACCAACTGCAGCGCGAAGTCGTCATCACAGTCGCCAACAATCAGAACCTGCGCACAGGGCGACAAGGGATAGTTCAGCTTCAGTCACGAGAGACTAACGTTATGCTGCAAATATCGAAAGTCTTAATTGCAGAAGGACTCGGCTACAACTTACTGAGCGCCAGCCAACTCATGGCGAAGGGAATCCATCTTGAAGCAGACGGCACCACCCAGGAGTTCAAGCTGTACAACGGGAGAGGTGGACTGTACATCGGAAAGGCCATACTGAAGAATAATGTTTTCGTCCTCGACTTCGTTCCAGATCAAGGCACCGCCGACAGTGATGGAATCGTCAACTTCACTTCCTGGACACACCCCACGGATCTCGACCCCGACTTCAGTCCCGGCGGCTTCTGGTACTCGAACACTGTACCTGAAACAGAACGGACGAGAGCATTAGCAACAATCCAGACAACATCAGCAGCAGCAGTAACAATATCGACAGCAGCAGTAACACCATCGGCAGTAGCAGAGACAACATCGGCAGCAGCAGAGACAACAACGGCAGTAGCAGAGACAACATCGGCAGCAGCAGAGACAACACAGGCACCAATCGCTGGTTCTTCAATAGCACCGGCCTTCATCGACGACACACCACCGACTCCTGCGCAACAGCTGACTCCCACTCCACGGGAAGTCCACAGAAGCACAAACTTCACCGTAGGTTTCTACTCCAGCTCCAACCTGTACCGACGTTCACCCGGACATCGCGCTGGCGAAGACATCTTGCATGCAAGGATGGGACACCCGAGCAACACAACGTTAAACAACAGGATAAGAGCAAGTGTTCTTGATAAAGACTCACTGCTTCTACACGACGGCAAAGAACTTCAACGAGTCCGCGGAACGTGTTTTACCTGCCCTGAAGCCGACTTACCGCATCAGCCGTTCGTCTCTCACCACAACCCGAGCGCACCAACATACGCACCACTGGAGAAAGTGTACAGCGACATACTGTACAGTCGTGAACCCAAACAAGGAGCCTACAACTACATCATGACGTTCATCGACGCCGCCACACGATATGTCTGGCATCTCAACCTTCCGAGTCGCGACATGACCTTCGAAGCTTTCGTCGCCTGGCTTCCAGTAGCAGAACGGGAATTAGGAGTAAAGCTGAAAAGCTTCCAGTCAGACGAGGGAGGGGAATATCAGTCACAGAGGTTCAAGGACTACCTGGCAGAAAGAGGCATCAAACGGCTCATCTCCCTTCCCTACGCCCATCAACAGCAAGGCGTAGCAGAAGGAATGAACAAGACCCTTCAGAACACCATGCGCAAGCTGCTACGTGGCATGCGGCTACCCAACCACCAGTGGCCCGAAGCAATGGACCATGCCGTGATGCTGCACAACTTGCTCTCGTCATCATCGCTCCCGAACAACGCATCACCGTACCTGCTATGGACAGGAAAATTGGGCAGCACAAAAATGTTGCGAGTGTTCGGCTGCATGGTACAGTACTGACCCCCAACTGCACGAGCCGGCCGATTCTCTCAACGCATACAGTGGGGAGTACACCTGGGCATCGAAAAACACTACAACGCGTGGAAGATATTTACATCCACTCGAAGGAAACAGCAGCAGCACGTGACGTGATTTTCTACAAACGACTCACCTTCCCGACATACCTTGCCAACCTGGAAGAAGAACGAGACCCCACTGGCAGATTTCATGGTGACCGAGCCTTCGCCTCCGCAGCAGACAAAGCCGACTGGGACGAGCAAAATATGGACGGAGCCTTGGAGGAAGCCGGACCTCTTCCGTACTGCTCGGTGGACGTCCCCATGGACGACAACCCTCGCGAAAGCATCAATGCCGAAGTCTACTACGACTTCGCCGACAACGGTTACGTTACACCCCAGCAAGTCGACACCAACGTTTCGGAACGTGTAGGCCCCAACTTGTTACCTGATCCAGAAACGGGAGATAAATCACCTTATCCCGAGGACGCAAATCTCCCCCGCTATACACAGAGTGGAGTGCAGATACTGGAACTCATCAGCAGGCTCTGGGGGGGGAACACAGGGAAAAATGGCGCGAAGCCATGGACAAGGAGTTAAAGGCGCTGGAAGAACGCAACACCTGGAAGGTCGTACTCATCGGAGTGGCACGCAACAAGACAATACTCACCGGAAAGTGGGTTTTTCGTGTGAAAACAAAGGCAGATGGAACCATCGACAAATTTAAAATACGCTGGGTCATACGCGGCTTCGACCAAGAGCACTGACGAGACTTCACCAAAACGTTCACGCCGGTCAGCCGACACACGTCACTGCGGATTCTCCTCGCGATAGCTGCCATGAAGCGAAAGAAACTTCGACAAATCGATGTCGCCAACACCTTTCTGTACGCTCCCGTCGACGCAAAAATCTTCGTCGAGCAACCGCACGGCTCAAACGCAGATCCTTATCAAGTCTGTCAGCTGCTGAAGTCCTTATACGGTATCAAACAGGCTCCGAGACTGTGGCAGCAGTACCTTCACACCCGGCTAATACGCATCGGATTACGCCAATTACCGCACGATCAGGGAATGTACCGACTTACGAAAGGTGGTGACTACATCCTTCTCATCGTCTACGTGGACGACTTACTCTACATCGGCTCGACCGACGGCATCACAACTTGGTTCGAAGGGGAGCTACAGAGGAATCTCGCGCTCACCGTCTCGACTACCGTCACGCAGTATCTGGGACTCAACATACAAGAAGAAGAGAGTGCCATCTATCTCAGCGCCGCGAAATACGCCGACACCATCGCCAAGCGCTTCGGACTAACTCTAGCCGCCATCACCACGCCCTATCGCTACACTAACGGAAATCGCAATGAAATCTCCTCTCTGCTCAAACCCGCCGGCATACGCGACTATCAACGAAAGTTGGGATGTTTACTTTTCGCAGCCGTCACCTGCCAACCAGACCTATCGTACTCAGCGAGCCAACTCGCCACCTACCTTAAGAAGCCTGAAGCAGATCACATGGCCAAGCTCGACCGCGCTCTTCACTACCTCGTCAGTACACCAACGATCGGCCTGACCTACTACAAAAACGGAACCCTGACACCTAAGCTAATCGGCTATGTAGACGCCGATCACGCCGGCGACACCAACAACAGGCGCTCGCGCACCGGCTACATCTACCGACTTGATCCTATCGGGCCTATCTCGTGGCAGTCGAGCAAACAGGAACTAATCGCTCTTTCCTCAGCTGAAGCAGAATATATTGCACATTGCTCAGCCACCAAGGAAGGAGTGTACCTTCACGAACTGCTGGAAGAAGCGAAGTTGGCCCAGTACCAACCCAACCCAACCCAACCCAACCCAATCCAACCCAACCCAGCCTGACCCAACCCAATCCAACCCAACCCACCCATCAGGCTCAATTATTCCATCGCGATCATCGCAGACCACGGGCTGAAGCGGCCTCGCTGGAATGAGCCTCCTCCCTTGCCTTCTCTCTCCCCCTTTCCCTCGTTTTCCCCCCTCGTGTTAACCCACCCATCAGGCTCAAGTATTTGATGTTGATAACTGCAGACTTTGAATTGAAGCGGCCCAAGTGATCTGAGCTTCTATCCCTGCCCTCTCTCTCCACCCTACCTCTCTCTCCACCCTACCTCCCGACCCAACCCACCAGGCTCAAGTTTTTGATGGCCTTTATTGCCGACCACGGATTGAAGCGGCCTCAGTTGAAAGAGCTACTTCCCCCGCCCTGCCCCCTCTCTCTCCCCCTTTCCCCCATTCCTTCTTGCTAACCCAACCCACCAGGCTCAAGTATTCAATGGCTATCATTGCCGACCACAGGTTGAAGCGACCTCAGTTCACATCAGCACGGCTCAAGCGGGCCGAAGTGCTGTACCTGGAAACAGTCACGCACAGGTGAGAGCCGGGCATGGAGTAGTGGTGAGGGCAGGGCATGGACTAGTGGTGAGGGCAGGGCATTCATAGGTGGATTATGGGGTGCCTTAGAGGAAGCCTCAGTTTACTTGCTCAAGTGGGCCCAAGTGCTGTATTTGGAAACTGCCACGCACAAATGAGGGAGAGAAGGACAGTTTCGATCTGAAGCGCCTTAGAGGTAGCCGTCGTGGTTTTCGAGGCGCCTTTTTCAATTAGCGGCCTCAGCAGTACACATCAGCAACTCCAGTCAATCGTGTTTCCCACGTCTCACATCTCACTTCTCACATCTCACAACCCCTCCTGAAATGAGGGTGTTTCTGTTGAGACGCCTCAAAAACACCCTCATTTCACGTGGCGTCAGTACATATCAGCAACTCCAAGCGATCGTGTATCCCACATCTCACATCTCAAAACCCCTTCCTTTCCTCGCCCCAACCTCTCAGTTTTAGTTGAGCTAAGAGCCCGTGTCGGCTCACAAGATCTTTCAATCTGTAGCGAATTTCCAGGCCCAGCAGCAGCAGCAGCAGCAGCAGCAGCAGCAGCAGACACAGCTCTGCATGCACACTCACACTCTCTCTCCCCTAATCTGCAGCAGCAGTAGCAGCAGCAGCAGCAGACACAGCTCCACATTGCTACCCTTATCCGCATACACACTCACACTCTCCCTCCACTGCCTCCTCTCCACTCCACACCCTTGCATGTTTGAGTTGAGCTACGAGCGTGTGTCCGCTAGCAAGGTAATCTACTCTGTAGCACTTTCCCAGGCCCAGCAGCAGCCGCAGCAGCAAACACAGCTCCTCACTGCTGCTGTAACTCACATGCACACTCACACGCTCCCTCCCCTGCCTCCTCTCCACACCCTTGCAGGTTTGAGTTGAGCTACGAGCCTGTGTCAGCACGCAAGGTCTTCTACTCTATAGCGCTTTCCCAAGCCCAGCAGCAGCAGCAGATGCAAGCCCACACTATGCCACTTGATGTTGCTAATGCCAAGGCTGATGGGGCTGCTGTTGCTGCTGGTGATGGTGGTGCTGCTGCGGATGCTGGTGCTGCTGGTGTGGTGAGGGAGGGAGGGGTAGATGCTGGAGGTGACCAAGAGGGGCAAGGTGGGGGACTGGGAGAGAGGAACGAAAGAGAGAAGGGGGTAGCAGAGGAGGGAGAGGGAGCCGAGGGGTCTGATAAGGGAGCGAAGTAGAAGCAAGGGGAGGGAGGGTCAGAGAGCAAAGCAGCAGACGGGGAAGGGAAAGAGCACCCAGAAGCACCAGCTCACCCCCCTTCCAAGGCACACAAGAGCAGCACTGCAGCAGCTGATGCTGCAAACGCTAACTCTCCCAACACAAACAGCACCTCTGCTGCCCCCTCTTCAGCAGCAGGAACAGCAGCAGGGGGCAGTCTGAGTGGCCCGAAACGACCCTTCTCTCTCTTCTCCTCTCCTCCCGGGGTCCTAAGCACCACCAGCACCACTTCTGAAACCCAGTGGGTGCTGCCTCAGATTGCGTTAGCGCACATGCATGGGAAGGGAAAGGGGCCGAGAGACACGTACCAATGGACCCAGTGCGTTCCTCCTCTCCCTCTTGATCAACTCCGCTCCCACGGCTGCCCTCTCCCCACCGCTTTCACCAAGGTACGCCCTTTAAGGTCTCAGTGGGCTCTGCTGCCTCAGAGTGCGTTGGTCCACGTGCATGGGAAAGGAAAGGGGTCGAGAGACACGTACCGGTGGACCCAGTGCGTTCCGCCCCTCCCTCTTGACCAGCTTCGCTCCCACGGCTGCCCTCTCCCTGCCGCCTTCACCAAGCCCTTAGAGTCCCAGCTTGTTGTGCCTCAATCAAAGTGCGTCGGCCCAAGTGCATGGGAAGGGCAAGGGGCCGAGAGACACGTATCGCTGGACCCAGTGTGTTCCTCCTCTCCCTCTCGACCAACTCCGTTCCCACGGCTGCCCTCACCCTGCTGCCTTCACCAAGGTACGCCTCTAGAAATTATGGCACCAGCAGCTCCACTCCTTGGAGCCAGTGGGTTCTGCCTCAAAGTGTATCAGCCCAAGTGCATGGGAAGGGCAAGGGGCCGAGAGACACGTACCGATGGATTCAGTGTGTTCCGCCTCTCCTCTCGACCAACTCTCCTCACTCATCTGCCGTTGCTCTTGCTCTTGCGCTCTTGCTCTCTTGCTCTCTTGCTCTCTTGCTCTTACCCCCTTGGTCTGTTTCAGGTCCTCAAGGGTGCCTTCTGTTCTGAGGCGCCTCAAAGGGCATCTGGGGGCTGCGTGGCCTCTCATCTGCCCTGGTTCTTGCTCTTCCCACATTCCTTCTCCTGTTTCAGATCCTCGAAAGTGGTCTGGCGCGGGACGAGGTGCAGTGGGCATCTAGAGGGGTGTGTGGATGCATCTGGGGGCTGCTGTGTCCCCCATCTGCCCTTGCTCTTGCTCTTCCTGTACAACCTTCATCTGTTTCAGATCCTTGAGTCTAGCCTGGCATGGGACGAGGTGCACTGGGCGCCAGGGGGAGTGTGGGTGCTCCTGGTAACCGCATGGCAATCACCCATTTGACATTGTCCTTCCCTTCCTGTGCCGTCCCTCTCATGTTTCAGATCCTCGAGTCCAGCCTAGCATGGGACGAGGTGCAGTGGGCGCCAGGGGGGGTGTGGGTGAGGGGGCTGCACTACCCCGTCGTTAGGGCCCACTTCATGCCCCGCAAATCATTCTCCTCGCATTAGCTCCTTCGGTCGCTGTTACATGGTATTTTGATGTCCTCGCAGTGTATGTGTGCCCTGGGCTCCAATACCCTGTGGTCATTAGTTGTTTGTGAGACGTCTCAAAACAACACTTTTATCAGTGTGTGTGTGCCCTGGGCTCCAATACCCTGTGGTCATTAGTTGTTTGTGAGACGTCTCAAAACAACACTTCTATCAGTGTACGTGTGCCCTGGGCTCCAATACCCTGTGGTCATTAGTTGTTTGTGAGACGTCTCAAAACAACACTTCTATCAGTGTACGTGTGCCCTGGGCTCCAATACCCTGTGGTCATTATTGTTTGTGAGACGTCTCAAAACAACACTTCTATCAGTGTATGTGTGCCCTGGGCTCCAATACCCTGAGGTCATTTGTTGTTTGTGAGACGTCTCAAAACAACACTTCTATCAGTGTACGTGTGCCCTGGGCTCCAATACCCTGTGGTCATTAGTTGTTTGTGAGACGTCTCAAAACAACACTTCTATCAGTGTATGTGTGCCCTGGGCTCCAATACCCTGTGGTCATTAGTTGTTTGTGAGACGTCTCAAAACAACACTTTTATCAGTGTGTGTGTGCCCTGGGCTCCAATACCCTGTGGTCATTAGTTGTTTGTGAGACGTCTCAAAACAACACTTCTATCAGTGTACGTGTGCCCTGGGCTCCAATACCCTGTGGTCATTAGTTGTTTGTGAGACGTCTCAAAACAACACTTCTATCAGTGTACGTGTGCCCTGGGCTCCAATACCCTGTGGTCATTATTGTTTGTGAGACGTCTCAAAACAACACTTCTATCAGTGTATGTGTGCCCTGGGCTCCAATACCCTGAGGTCATTTGTTGTTTGTGAGACGTCTCAAAACAACACTTCTATCAGTGTACGTGTGCCCTGGGCTCCAATACCCTGTGGTCATTAGTTGTTTGTGAGACGTCTCAAAACAACACTTCTATCAGTGTATGTGTGCCCTGGGCTCCAATACCCTGTGGTCATTAGTTGTTTGTGAGACGTCTCAAAACAACACTTCTATCAGTGTATGTGTGCCCTGGGCTCCAATACCCTGTGGTCATTAGTTGTTTGTGAGACGTCTCAAAACAACACTTCTATCAGTGTATGTGTGCCCTGGGCTCCAATACCCTGAGGTCATTAGTTGTTTGTGAGACGTCTCAAAACAACACTTCTATCAGTGTATGTGTGCCCTGGGCTCCAATACCCTGTGGTCATTAGTTGTTTGTGAGACGTCTCAAAACAACACTTCTATCAGTGTATGTGTGCCCTGGGCTCCAATACCCTGTGGTCATTAGTTGTTTGTGAGACGTCTCAAAACAACACTTCTATCAGTGTATGTGTGCCCTGGGCTCCAATACCCTGTGGTCATTAGTTGTTTGTGAGACGTCTCAAAACAACACTTCTATCAGTGTATGTGTGCCCTGGGCTCCAATACCCTGTGGTCATTAGTTGTTTGTGAGACGTCGCAAAACAACACTTCTATCAGTGTATGTGTGCCCTGGGCTCCAATACCCTGAGGTCATTAGTTGTTTGTGAGACGTCTCAAAACAACACTTCTATCAGTGTATGTGTGCCCTGGGCTCCAATACCCTGTGGTCATTAGTTGTTTGTGAGACGTCTCAAAACAACACTTCTATCAGTGTATGTGTGCCCTGGGCTCCAATACCCTGTGGTCATTAGTTGTTTGTGAGACGTCGCAAAACAACACTTCTATCAGTGTATGTGTGCCCTGGGCTCCAATACCCTGAGGTCATTAGTTGTTTGTGAGACGTCTCAAAACAACACTTCTATCAGTGTATGTGTGCCCTGGGCTCCAATACCCTGTGGTCATTAGTTGTTTGTGAGACGTTGCAAAACAACACTTCTATCAGTGTATGTGTGCCCTGGGCTCCAATACCCACTTGCTGCTGATCGGCCATCGCCCCTCGGGTAACTCAACAAGCTCCCAAGTCCCATTCTCAATGAGACCGTTGAACTCCGCATCCATGGCAGCCTTCCACTCCTCCTTCTGGGGTCTAGTGAGTGCCTCCTCCACTGTGGCTGGCTCTCCAGGCAAGGGTGTGAACAAACAGAAGGCCATCTCCTCATCCTCTCCCTCATCCGCCTGAACCGCCATGGCACCTTGCTTGGGTCCTCCCAAACGGCTATACTTCAGCCTTGAGGGTGCTGCTGCCACTCTCTTCTCGCGGGTTGCAATCTGCTGCCCACGTGGTGAAGCTTCTCTCTGCACACTCCTCTTGGTGACCTTGGCGGTTGCAGCAGGCTCGGGCTGAGATGGTGAGTCCACACGTGCCGACTCATCCTCCAACCCCTCCTTTGCAGCAGGACCAGAAACTTGCTGCTCACCACCGCCACTGTGGTCACTGGTCAGCTCTGACCCAGGGAGATCCTCAAGGTGCAGCTGAACCTCCTCCACTGCAGACCGCTCAATCTCTTGCAGACGCAAGCCAATCTGCACCTGCTGCTGCTGCTGCCAGTCCTTGTACATGACGTCATCCACAAACTTGACGTCACGGCTGACCAGCGTCTTCTTGCTCTTGGGGTCCCACATCAGCCACCCCTTCGAGTCAGGAGCCATCCTAAGATGGACAGCCCACACAGCAGCAACTTCCAGCTTGTGCCTCTGCTCCTTAAGCACCATCACAAGCCCCATGCAGCCCCACACCCGCAGCATGTCAATAGATGGCTTCTTCCCAAGCCAACGCTCGTACGGCACCCAGTGCTTGTCGCCAACATGTGTCAGGACCCTATTCTTGACCGTGATGACATGGCGAACAGCTTCAGGCCAGAACTTGTAAGGCATCCCAGCAGCCCCCAACAAGGTCTTAGCCGCCTCGCCAATGGTCCGGTTGGAACGCTCAGCAATACCGTTCTGCTGCGATGTTCCTGGGCAGGTCAGCTAGTGTCGGATGCCGTTTCTCTTGAGAAACTTGGTGAATTCCGCTCCAAGGAACTCTCCACCATGGTCGCTCCTCAGCACCTTCACCAACCGCATCGCTTGCCGCTCCACCATCGGCAACCAATCCTCCTTGATCGCCGCTGCAGCATCGCTCTTCTTGGACAAGGGACGCGCCCACGTGAAACGGCTCCATTCGTCCACCATGGTGAGGAAGTACAGCACTCCGCGAGTCCCCTCAGTCCTCATAGGACCCACCAGGTCCATGTGCACCACCTCCAAGGGTGCCTTCGCCGATCCCTCCGCACGTGGAAATGGGAACCGTGCAAACTTGTTTTGCATGCACACCTCGCAGCTGCCATAGTGAGCGCCATCTCTTTGCAGTTGCAGCCCATGCACGCGCTTCTCCTTGTGCATCACCTCCAATGTGGAAACAGCCACGTGTGCGAGCCGCCGATGTCAAGTCTCCCAATCCGCTTGGCCCGAGGTAGCTGACGACTTCACCGCCGCACTTCCTCCAATCAGCTCCTCTCCTTGCACACCTTGCTGCTCCTTCTCGGTGACGCTCTCCTCCATAGACGCCGCCGCTGCCTCCTTGCTCGATTTCCGCCAAGGTAGGACCGGGATCTGCCACATCCGCTTGTGGACATCCCCTTTCCACTGCAGGTCCCAAATCAGCCGCTCTTCATTGTAGTCACGATAGCGCTCCGAGCCAATCGTCTCGGTGTTCACACCCGCATCTCCCAACTGGCCGGTAGAAATCAGGTTCGCGCACAAGTCTGGCACCCACAGCACATTCTTCAGCCCCACGAGCTCTCCATCCGCTCCCATGAACTTGGCGCACCCCATGCCCATGACCTTGGCCTTGGCGCCCGTTGCGGATGTGACTGTAGAGATAGGTGCGGGCTGAATCTCATCAAGCAGGTCCGCACGAGGAGTCATGAGCCAAGAGCTTCCCGAGTCAATCACCCGATGGGTGAAGGGGTGTAGGAGAACCTTAGCAGCCATAGCGAGGTTGGTTGCGCCTTCGTTCACGAAGAAGAAGAACCCGGCCTTCCGCTCCTCAGATTTGCCACCTTTCTCCTCATCCCTCTCCTCTCCACTAGCTCCCATGACTCCCCCACTCCTCTTGCCACCATGCTGGTTGCTTGATGAAGGCGGGGTCCAATCATTGGGTCGTTGGTAGCACTTCCGCCAATGATGTCCGCGCTTCTTGCAGTAGAAACACACCTCCCCTTGACCCCCGCCGCCATCCTCCTTGTCCTTGTTCTTGCCCTTCCACATCTTCTTGAAGCCACTCTTTCCACCTCCAACTCCATAGCCAGCCCCTCCTCCGAGCGCTCCACACTTCGCCGCCGCAAGTCATCCTCTAGGATGCGCGCGCGAATGTAATCCACGCTCCACTGGGGCTGTTAAGAGTTGAGGTTGATCGCAAGGGCAGACCACGACTCCGGCAGCCGTATCACGATCTCCACGCATTGCACGAGCTCCGGGTACACCACACCGCCGCCTTGGAGCTTCGTGAAGATGTCCCGCATCTCATCCAACACCGGTTGCATCGGCTCTCCATCAACGAACTTGATGTCGCGCAGCCGCCGCGCGAGTAGCATGATGCCGGTAGCATGTGTTGGTGAGTGCACATCCAGAAGCTTCCTCCAAGCCTTGGGGCCACAATCAGGATCACCCAAGAGGTCCTTGATGTGGTCAAGTTGTCGTCCGCCAACCGCTTGCACCATGAGCATGTACGCGTCGAACGATCGTTTCATCCATGCTCCCTTCAGCTCCGCGGCCTCCGGCATCTTCTCCTTCCCCTCCACCAGATCCAATAGCTTGTATTGGGTGTACATCAGTCTCATGCGGAAGCTCCAGTGCTCGTAGTCCTCCCCCATGAACTTCTCAATAGAGAACGCCTTCACGGGATCCACAGTTGTTGGAGATGGTGTAGTAGATGTAGGTAGCGTAGGGTTGGCTGATTGGTGAGTCCCCACTCCACCACCAGCAACTTCCCCCTGCTCTCCAGCCTCTCTACCTCTATCCATCTTGCCACTAGCACCTCTGGAGTCCGTTCCAGTCATATTGAGGCCTTA